CCGTCAGCGTGGGGGGCGCGCGCTACGTGCTGCTGCAGCGCCTCGCCGAGGGGTCAGCGCCGCGGGCAGGGCGAGCCCGGGCGCGGGGCGCGGGGGCCCGAGCAATGCGCGCCGCCGCGGGTCGGGTGCTCAGGGGGACGCTCGCGCACCCCTCGGGCGCCCCACTGCACGCCGCTGCGGCCCGGGGGTGCAGGGGGGACAGGAGGGTGCAGGGGGACAGGTTGGAGCAGGGGGGACAGGAGGGTGCAGGGGGGCAGGTGGGTGCAGGAGGGATTGGGTGGGTGGGTGTCCCACATTGCACTTTGCTCCCCGCAGGGGCTTCAGCTACGTGGACCTGGTGGAGGGGCTGCGCGACGGGCGCTTGTACGCGCTGAAGCGCATCGTGTGCCACGACAAGGAGGACCGGCGCGCCGCCCTGCACGAGGCCGACATGCACGGCCTCTTCGAGCACCCCAACATCCTGCGCCTCGAGGCGCACTGCCTCGTGGAGAAGGGCGCCAAGCACGAGGCCTGGCTCCTGCTGCCCTACGTGCAGGTGAGGCGGGCGGGGGGCGGCCGCGGGKCCCGGCGCGCGCCGCGGCGTCACCGGCTGCCCCTTGCAGGGAGGGACGCTGTGGAGCGAGGTGGAGGCGCTGCGGGAGCGGGGCGCCTCCATGCCGGAGCGGCGCGTCCTGCGCATCCTGCAGGGCATCTGCCGCGGGCTGCACGCCATCCACGGCAAGGGCTACGCGCACAGGTGGGGCGGCCGCGGCCGGGCACGGCGGGCGGCGCGCGGGGGCTCCCGCTGACCCGCGGCGCCCGCAGGGACCTCAAGCCCACCAACGTGCTGCTGGATGAGGACGACCGCGCCGTGCTCATGGACCTGGGCTCCATGAACCAGGCCCGCATCGAGGTCAACAGCTCGCGCGAGGCCATGGCCGTGCAGGTGGGACACTGCCCCCGGGCGCCGCGTCGTAGCCATGGACCCCTGTCCCAGGGCTCATGGCCAGAGGTGCTCCGTGCCCTGCACTCACACCCTGCTGTGCCCCGTGGCAGGACTGGGCCGCCCAGCGCTGCACCATCTCCTACCGGGCCCCCGAGCTGTTCTCGGTGCCGAGCCAGTGCGTCATCGACGAGCGCACCGACGTCTGGGTAAGCGGCGGGCCGGGCGGCCGTGCAGCCGCGCGTGCGCACGGGTGGGTGGCCCTCACCCAGTGCCACCCCAGTCCCTAGGCTGCGTGCTCTACTGCATGATGTTCGGCGAGGGCCCCTTCGACATGATCTTCCAGAAGGGCGACAGCGTGGCCCTGGCTGTGCAGAGCCCCGTGGTGCTGCCYGCCGACTCCAGGTGAGGGGCCGGGCAGGGCGGCCTCGCTGTCCCCAGCCGCGCGGGGCAGCGCTGAGRCCCCCGCCTTGTCCCCAAAGGTATTCAGCCGCCCTGCGCCGCCTGCTCTCATCCATGYTGACCGTGGACCCCCAGCAGCGGCCCCACATAAGCGACATCCTGGAGCAGCTGGAGGGGCTGGAGCCGGCGCCGGCGGGCCAGGACACGACACAGATCTGAGCGCGTCCGCACGCCGCGGCGGTGCCACGTGCGARGCAGCGGCCCTCGCCCCGGCGCAGACAGGAGCTGTTTGGAGAGAGGTTTTTGTGCTCGGCGTGGAGCTGCTCCTGTGCAGAGGTGTGGGGCAGGGCAGGGGGGCGCGTGCTGCTGCGTGCCCCCCGGCRCGGAGCGGAGGGAGCCGCGTGCTGGGGCTCGCGGCGGGGCTGCGGCCGAGGGGCGCACGGGGCCGGCCGTGCAGCCCCGCGCCCCGGCAGGGTCCCTGCCGGCTGGGGCCTCCGCAGCGCGGCGGCGCAAAGCCGCCCTCCGCGGCCTGACTGATGCTGGGCCAGGGCGAGGGGCGGGCGCGACCTGGCTGCTGCGCCCGGCTCCGACGTTGCCTTGTGTTTTGAGTAAAAGCTGCTTTGTGGAGGTGTGCGTGGAGTGCCTGCCTGCGGGAGCGGCGGTGGCGGGAGCCCGCGCGGCTGCGGAGTGGGAGAGCGCAGGACRGTCCGCGCGGAGCCGCAGGGATGTGCTGCCACGGGGTGCCCCGTGCCAGTTAGCAGCGGTAACGTCCGCAGCGGGAGCCCAGCCGTGCGGGGTGCAGGGCCAAAGCAGCGGGTGCGCGGGGGCCGTCCGAGGCCAAGCGCTGGCGGGGGCAGAGCCGGGGGGTGCTCAGCAAGCGGCGCCTGCAGGATGGGGCAGCCCCCGCTGTGAGGGGGCGGGGGGGGGGGGGGAGGGCGGGGGCGGGGGCAGAGCCGGGGGGTGCTCAGCAAGCGGCGCCTGCAGGATGGGGCAGCCCCCGCTGTGAGGAAAGCCCTGGGAGAGACCCGTGCCCCCCATGGGCGCCGGGGCCGGGAACAGCCCCCCGGGCCGGCAGCCAGGCCTTGCCGGGGACYGGCGCCGAGGCACGAGCCGCTCAGCTGCCTGTGGCAGGGAACAAAAGAGATGCAGACGGCTGGTTTCGCGGGGAGCGCTCCCCTCCTTTAATCCTCTCACCACAGCACAGTAGTAAAGCAGACGCTGCGATTCATGCCGCGCTGGAGGCCGTGCCCGGGGGCCCCGATGCACAACAGAGGCCTCGTGTGCTCAGACCCGGGCGCAGAGGGTCCAGGCGGCTGCCCCGACATCCATCCCTGCCCTTCCAGCAGCGCCTCCCTCCCCGTGACACCGTGATTGGGAGCAGCTCCCGGTGCTACAAACGTTTTCCTGCTCAAGCTACTGGACCAGTGACSGGGATGGGAGCAGCGGTGTGGCCCTGGGCTCTTCCCTGCACAGGGAGCAAGCGGCGCTGGAGCGGGGCGCGCGAGGAGGAAGCAG